ACCTTGTTACAATATTGTATTCCTTAATTTATTAAAAAAAACATTAGCAAGATTTTCTCTAGAATGTGAACTATCTAATTTTTTAAAATCAAGAATTATACTTTTTAATTTCCAATCTTTAAAATCCAATTTGCACTAATACCAAGAAATGATATTTGATTTTTGGAAGTCCATCTATCAAGGGTAAAAGAAATACATCCAGAAGTTTCTTGTAATTTATTTTTCGTATAATATCACCAGTAGGTAATTTGGCTTATACCTGCCACCCAAATTCAAAATCCAAATGCCGAAATTCCAAATGCCAAAATCCCAAATTCCAAATCCCAAATTATGATTAGTATTTTTTGCTGAAATCCCAAATCCCAAATCCCAAATACTAGTAATTTGGGATTTGGGCAACACATATAATTTGGCTCAAAATTTAATATTTTTATCATATTTTTAAAAAAATCACCTTTAATTACAGTAAAAGATTAGTTATCTAAAACAATCCATTGAACAAAATCATTTTGCCAAGTTTCTTATTAAAAAATCTATTATTATTATTTTTTTTTTTGTTTCAGCAAGGTCTTGTCACAAATTTATTAATTAGAAAAAGAGAAAGTTTTTTACATTACATAAGATTACATAATACAAAATACACAACTTATTCTAATATTTATTTGAAAAGATAAGACTCGACTAACTCATAAGATACGGGTCCACAACTTACCACCTGACAAGTAAACTTGCCTTCAGCATGTTAAGGCCTTGCTGAATAACTTATGTTATATATTTCTGTCCATTTAATCCTTTCCTTAATAAATTTATAAAAAAATTGGCTAACTATATTATTACATATATTTTTAACTATGTTTTTACTATTTTTTTCTATATTTGTGTTAGTATTATTATCATTAATATTACTATTATTATTGTTAATGTTTATATTTGTGACCTGGTTATTATTTGGCAGGATTAAGACTTTACGTTTATTTTTATTTCATATGCCATTTTCTAACTCCCATCTTTTTATCTCGTTACAATGTCTCATCCATATATTTGTTCTTATTAATTGTTTGAATTTTTCCATCAAATTTCTAATTATTTTATTTGTTCCTTCTTTGTTACCAACTATAGAATATATTATTTCTATTAAGGAGCTTGATAAGAGATCAAAAATTATATCAATAAATGAAAACACATTTCCATCTCTTGTCATAGATTGTGTTTCAATCTCAAGTTCTTTTATGTTGTTTATTGTAATTTCTTGTGTTTTCATCAAGGCTTTGTGTCGATTTTTCAATAATTTGTTCCCATAGTAAATCTGTAAATTTGTTCTTACATATTTCTATATCTACCAGGTTTTGAGTACATTTAAAAACATGATATTGATCTTCCTTTTCCATGTTACAACGAGGACACTTATCATCTTTGTATATATTTGGAAAGTGTTTTTTAAGTCTCTCTAATATAAGCAACTCATTGTTCATTAATTTTATGCTGAAGGATCTTTGTTGTATATCATTTAAATTTGTGGTTTGTTTATCTATGTAAGATAATATTGTAGTTTGCCATGATGATTCCCAACAAATTTCCTTACTTTTATTGTTAGATACTGCTGTTATATTTCTATTCAGTAGTCTCCAACTAGCTAATTGTTTGGTTGTACTCAATTTTTTTGTAAAAGTTCTTAAAGATTCTTCTATGGATTGTAAATTCCAGTAGCTAATTGCATTCAGTAGCTAATTGCATTGATTGATGCTAATATTTGTAGGTCTGAACTGCAGTTTGGTTTGTTATGGCCTTCATTTGCGAGTTTATCTACCAGATCATTAAGTTCTATTCCTGAATGTACCTTTATTTTAATAAATTCTAATTTAATCTTTTATATAAAGACGATTTCATTTATTGCTTTGAGTAATGTCCAATTTTTTATTTTTGTATGGTTTTTTTTATTATTTTTTGTGATATTTGTGTATGCATCAATTGTTACCTGGCTATCTGTAAAAATTTTAAGGTTTGACTATTTTGGTGTCACATAAACTGCAGTTAGTACAGCCATAATTTCTGCTCTGATTGATAATATGAAATCTTCAACTCTATCATTAAATGTAAATTTTGTATTGTTGTCAACAATTGTAACCCATCCATAACCCATTACTGGTTTTTGACATATTTTTTGGAATTTGTTATTATTATTATTTTCTATTAATGAGCCATCTGTATATATTTTAATCTCTTTTTTATTGGATAATAGAGTTCAGATCTGGTCTAATTTATCTTGGACTTCATTATTTAACCAAAAATTTAAATAGTTATTATATATGCTTGCACGATTGTTGGTGGTATTATCAATATTTATATTTGGTAATAAGTGTGACATGTTTGATTAACCTGTCTGTTGTTTAGCTAAGATATTATTTAGCCCATATTCAATTGTTTCTATTTCAGATTGCAGACGTGGTTTATTTTTTCTTTCAGGTGTTCTAAAGGAAACTTTGCTTTTAATTACATTAATGTTTACTGTTCGTGGAACCCTACTTTGATTAAACAGACACTTTTGTTTCTAAGATCATTTGTTAGATTATTATCTCCCTGTGTGCAGCCCTGGCATTTTTTAAGGGGTGAGGTTTCTTTCTCATTGATATTTCTTTCTCTGATATAGTATGTTAGGATGAGTTCATGGTTATTTATCACTTTGCATCTTTTTTCCAAGATCACACTTTGATTATTGGAATTTTGAGTTGCTGTCCATTTTATTTTGCTACTTTGTTTGTCAATGTTTTGTTCACAAGTGTTATATCTGTCTCTCAATCTCTTTTTGATTTCTTTGTCTGGTATCTGTTTTCCTTTTAGATTTGATAGAAGTTTTCTTTTGATTAGTTTAAACCATCCTGGTTTAGGACCTCATCTTTCATTTCCAGTTATACCTTGCCAGTACAATAGGCAGTTACCATTGTATGATGTTAATTGTTCTATGAACATTATTTGTCAAGTTCTAAGACTTTTTCTATATTGGAAACAACAATTATGATCATAAAGTATTTCCTCAATGGTTATGTTTCCTCCTTTTATTAACATACTTCCCACTATTTTCTTAGATATTTTAAATGTAATATTGTTTACTTTACAAATTTTTAGGATGTCATTAATCAAAGATTGACTTCTCAGTGTATTGAGGGTTTCTGTTGAGTGAAAAAATCTATTATTTATTAAATATTAATTTAAATATTTAAAAAAAATTTAAAGAAATAATATAATATTTTACATATCAAGGTTTTATCAGATATGATATATTTATCCATTGCTCCAGAAGTTACAACTTTTCATAAGTTTTTGTAATTATAATTAAAATGACTTCTCAAAGTTGAAGTAGATTTATCTTTTAGGAACTCTGTAACTTTTACTAAAATTAACAAAGAATATTAATATAATTAATTATTTTTTATATTTAAAGTTATTTTTTTATACTTACCTACAATGATTGTATTTATATTTATTTTTATTAGTAATTATTGTAAAATGTAGAATTGTTAATAGAGTGGAGTGAGTTGGGTTGGGTTCATATTATAGCAGAGTAAGGGACAACCCAACTTAACCTGAATTAAATACTTTGGGTTTGTACTTTGAGTTATACTCCAGACTATTCTGAATTACTCCAGGTTACTCATAATTATTGTCCTGGTTTATTTAACTTTAGATTCATTAATACAACACATTGATTAGAAAAAATTTATTAAAAAAAAATATTTATTTTATTTTTTTCATTTTTTGTTGATGTAAAATTAATTATTGAGTTTCTTCAAGTAAATTCAAAGGTAGATTTCTATTGGCAAATTTTGTGCAATGTTTATAATTAATAAATTCACTTAAATTATTAAAATCATCAATAATAAGTAACAGTGGTCTGTACAGCTTCTTTCATCAGAATAATATTATGAACTCTCTCTTTTATCACTTGTGTAAGTGGGTGGATTACTATAGGCTGAGTCACGTTGCATCTGCAGTAATATTAGATCTTGGAAATTGTGGAAATCTTTGTGATATATGATTCTGGGGATTTAGACAATTTTGATATAGTGGGGGTTAAAGTTTAGGTAAAGTTACTTGTATTACTTGTATTAGTTTTCTCCTTTGTTTTTTTCTAGTTGTCTTCTCTGTTTTTGTTTTATTTTTATCCTTCTTACTAGCTAATGTCTTGTTCTTCTATTTATTGATGATTTCATTGAGCATCTTCCTCTAATTGATGATTCCAGTAGTTTTTCACTTCTAATTGCTAGATGACTTCAAGTTCTTGTAGTTGTAGCTGTCAAATTACTTCTTTTGTTATTTGTTCTTCAGCTCATTGTCTTTTTATTTCTTGTCATAATTGTTCTTGTTCTTCCCAAAATTGGCAATTTTATTTTTGTTCCAAAATATTTTTTTTATTAATCTTTCCGAAAGATGTTCATCATTTGGAGATGTCATGAATTTCTCTTGTTATTCCTTGGGTTCAACAGATGTTTCCTTTATTTTTATTATTATTATCATTATCTTATTACAATATAATGCCAACTTAATATTCAAAAAATAGTATAATTATTTTTGTCACGAGAGTACTTAAGGTGAGAGGTATGTTGTGAAGGTATAAAGATATAATTAAGGAAATAAAACTTCAGGTTCACTATCTGAAAATGTATTATAAAAATCTTCATCAGTTTTTGATTTCTTATTCATGATAAATAAAATTTTTGAAAAGAAATCTAATTGATTATCAGTTATTAAAATTCCAACCAATAAAATTATTGCTCTATATGGAGCAACCTGAGTAAATTATCTGGAGTAACCCAGAGCTATAATTATATTATAACCTGGGTTACTACTTCTCAACCCACTCCATAATGGAGTGTGTTATAACATAAAGTTGCTCCAGAGTATACTACTCCATTAAGTAAAATGATCAGAAACATATGATTTAAATTCTCTCTTAGAATTGATAAGATCTGAAGATTCAGTCATATTTTGGCTTGTATTTTCATCTATATTTTTATCTGCATTCTTATTAGTATTTTTTGATCATTTTCATTAGCTAAATCATCTTCTAGTTCATTTTCATTGTCTAAATCCTCCTCTAGTTCAATCTCAAATTCTTCATATTCTTCAAATTCTATTAAGATATGAAAGAGGGAAAAGATAAAATAAAATATAGTTTTACTTATTATTCCCTATTACAATTTGTCAAATGATCAAAAAAATATTTTAATAATAATATTTAATACATTTCTAAAATATAAATGTTTATAATAATAATAATAATAATAATCACAATAATATATATAGATTTTCAATAATCAGATTTTAAATCTATTAATATTAATTTATTTTTTTATAATAAAATAGCAACAGTTGACAGTAACAGCAAAAAAATAGCAACAAAAAAATAGTGCCAAAAAAATAGCAACAAAAAATAGCAAAGTAAAATAAACAGATCAAAAAAATTGATTATCTTTTTTTTTCTTTTGTATTACATCAACTAATTGATTTTGTTTTAAGATACTATGGAGACAATGGTGATAAAGATAAAAAACATGCTGCCGAAAAAAGCAACAAAAAAAAAGTAGCAAAAAAAATAATTGAACCAAAAATGTTTTGGTTCAGTTTCAGTTCTTCCGTTCAGTTCAAATAAAGAAACTGAAACTGAACTTAACTGAATGGGTGATCATCCAGTTTGGATTTTAATGAACTGAACTGGAACTGGAATCAGAATCAGCCATTCTGATTCAGTTCAAACCGAACAGTTAGAAGCTTTACAACAGAATCAGATAACCTTAAACCACTGTGAAAAGATTATCTTTTAACTTTTTAATATCCATAAAATTCTTGCATCTTTTCTTATTTCACACAGACCCCTCAGCCTCATTATTACAAATGATATCTGTCCTGGCCTGGTATTATCTTTCAAACATGAACTGTTGCTGTTGTTATCATCTACGATTCCATCTGTACAATCAGTTCGTACCTTTTCTGATAAGAAAATATCATTTGAGAAATCGATTTGGGAACCCATTGAAGATGACATCTCACCCACCAATGTTTCACTTAAATTTTTAGCAATATTTTAGTGAGTAGGAAGAAGTTTAAATCTGGTCAAGTTAGAAATCTCAAGTGAACTATTATCGTCAAAGGCTTTTTGTTTAGATGAACAAAATGTGCCATCAATGTAATTAGTATCCTTTGAATAAATATAGAACTTATTGTCAATCACTTCCATCTGTTCAACAAGAAAAACAAAAGATTTTTGTGGACAAATTATAGTCACCAGGTGTGAAAATCATGAACTGAAATGTGGAAACATGACTTTAATGACAAAGTTATAATCTTGACTAGTGTAATCAATATCACTAATTAACACATTGACAAAAGTATTTTTGTCAACCCCTACTATACATGGTAACTATTGAGGAACTCCTATCAAAGAAACTTTTATTGGTCACTTATTTGACTTAATGACTTTGCTAGTTAATATATAAATTATGTACGTGACAGTGACAATGTTATATTTAAACTCGAAAGAAAATTCTTTTATTAATTTTAAGTAAAAATGATTTTTTTTTCAAACTTATTTTATATAATAATAAAATAAACAAATGAAATATATACAATTACATACAAGTAGAAACACGACAATAAATAAAATAGTATAAAAAATTAATCATTAGTATGGCATAGATTTTGTAAAAAATTTTCACTCTTAATAACTTATAACTTATTGTTTCTATTGTTTTTATTGTTTAAAAAGAATATTTTATTTTAGATTTTTTTTTGAGCATAGATTCTAAAATTGAAATTTATTAAATTTAGAAGTTAAAATTAAACTTAAGACAATCAAAAATATTACTTTCTTCTTCTTACCTAGAAATGTTCCAACTATATTTGCTCGAATCAAGATCTGAACAACATAATTGTAAAGTTTTATCAAATTCCTCATGAGTAATCCCCATAAATCGTGACAAAGAAGGTTTAATAGCTGAATAAATATTAAAAATATTTATGGCCATCTAATATTTTTGTAAGGATTGAGGGATAAAAAACCAGCATGTGAATTGAGTGAATTTGTATAATCGAATGTTAAAATTAATAGGTATAATGTGAAGAGAAATGTGAAATTAATTACTATTTCACCAAGTCTTCCACCCCATTTTCCAATAGGAACTGAACGTCTTTCATGTTTAACATTTTGAAGTTGCATATTATTTCTCAGAATATTTTCAATAATGGGACAAATTTTTAAATTTATATTACGTTTGGCAAGAAATTCAGAGACTATCAATAAAATAAAAAAAAATTTTAATTTTTATTAAAAAAAAAGTAGATCAAAACAGGAAAGTGAATTATATAAAAACTACTGACATGAAGTAAATAATTTATGATAATTTTGAGAAAAAGGTTCACCGGATTTACAACCTTCAACTTCCCTAAAATAAATAAAATTAAAGTAATATAAAAAATTTAGTTCAAATCAAAAAAAAATAAAGTAAACAAATGAAATAAATAAACAAAAGAAATAAATAAGAATCGTGTAAAAAAGGCAAAAAAAAAAACATACATAAATTCAATCCAACCACCAGGTTTAGTTTTTCTAATAAGTTCTAAAATTACTTCATCTTTCCATTGAGATTCTTCCAATGCTGTATTGAGAAATCTTTGGTGAATAAAATCAAATGTACCTTCCTATTGATAACAAAAGTAACAATAAATAAATAATATTAAATTTTTCGAGTATATATTTATATTTATCTATCATTTTTTACCGGAAAGGGAAGACCATTTAACAAATTTGATTGAAGGAAAGATGCATTAGGTAGTTTTTTCTGCTCAGAAGGAAATATTGGAGAAATATCCAAACCAATAAATATTGCCGATGGAAAAGCGCGTGCCATATCAATTACCCATGAACCTGGACCGCAACTAAATAATGATAAAAAGAAAATTTTTATAATAATTATATTACATAATAGATTAATAAATTAATAAACCGCTAAAAAATAAAAAATACTTAAAACAATGACATTAAAAAAAATCAATAAATACCCAACGTCCAAAACAGTTGCCCCAGGCTTTCTTAAAGTCTTTTGAACGGGGGATGAAAAATCTCCTTTCCAAATATGTTGAAGTAAATAGTGTTCTCCTTGAAGACGATCAATTTCTCCAATATCATTTGGAAAGAAATATTTTGCATCAAATACATTATGAAATCTTCTTCCTCCAATGTATCGAAATGAATCAAGTATAAATTCATCAAATCCTTCTTTACTTTCTCCATTCTCGAATTTCTTGTCGGTTTTATCTAATAATAATAATAATAATAAAGTAAAAAAAGAAAAAAAGTTAAACTATTATAATTCTTTCTATTCAATAAAGTTATTATTGTTTATATTTAATAATGAATAAAGATATACCCATGATTAGTTTATTTATTTTATTTGCATAGATTATTATTATTTGTCTTTTGTGTTATAGCAGCAACAATACGCAATATTAGAATGTTAGCTTACGGAAGTTAGTATTGAAAATAATGAACGAATGAGGAATAGAGAATATAGCCGAAAAAATGATAAAGGATAGGATCTCAAAAGAGGTGATGAATATGGCTATGAATATAAAATAATAAAGCAGTAAGCTCTATGGTCAGTGGGGGGTATGTCTAACAATAGAGCAAGAAATATAGAATGAAACCAAAAATAATAATTAAAAAAGAAAAATAAAGATTAGGTTCGCTCTTGGCTGAGGAATCAAAACTTTTTTGTTCGTTTCAACGTGCATTTATATAAAAAAGAAGAAACAATTTACATCCAATAATAAATAGCAATGAAGTACATTAATAAGATAAATATTCATTTTTTTTTGTTAAGATGCTGTGTTATTTCTAATGGAATATAATTTATACTGTATTAAAATATATATTAAAATTATTTATAAAAAATTCAAAATAATGCACTATTGAAAATCAAAAAGAGCCAGTTTTTCTTTCTTAACAATCTTCTCAACTTGAGATTTGTAATACATTATTAATTGATTATTAATAATGTATTTTGAGGAATTGATATATATTTTGCTTATATAATTATATATTTTTATATTTTTAAAAATATTTTTATTTATGGATTTTCTAAAATAAGAGAATAAATCAATAACATATCCGCCGGATATATGATGCTTTCTGAAGATTAAAAAATAAATACCTTGAAAAAGGAAACTTAAAAAAAAGGAACTCTCGATAAAAAAAAAATAATTGCGCACACAGACCACATTTGTATATAACACAAACATGAACTGTATATAAAAATATAATTATAAAAAATCCAATAAATTATAAAAGATTAAATCCAGTTTATTATCTTTTTTTGAACGAATCATAAGAATCACAATAACGTCCAAAGAAGTCTCTTTAGGAAAAGCGGGATTAATTGGTTATTCATTATTCAGAAATGCATTGATGCTTGTATACAACAGATTTTAATATATATAATTATAGTAATTATATTTGCCCCAGTATTTATATGTATATATTTAATGCATATGTTGTGCCTCAGATCGATGCCTGGCAGCCGAGATACCTCAGATGTCACAGAATTATAACTACAGACTATGTACATCTTTTTAAATTTAGCTAACTATCCGCAACTTTAAAAGAGGCACGAAAATGTGTATTCATTAAAAGATAATGCTTATTGTTAAAAATTAAAATTAAATAGTAGTCAATCAATTTGTTTGTTTTTCCGATTACATAATATTGTACAGTAAATTATATCATCACCAATACCAATCATAAAAGAAACTAACACTATAACACAATGTAAATTGTTACGTGTATAAATAATTTCTTTCCATATTATATTATTTATATTATATATGCCTGAGAATCTGAGAACCCGAGAAATTCGAAAAATCTGAGAAATTTGGTATGGGAAACTACATGCATACAAAGAATATGTATAAATTATATCCAAGATCACAGAGATTTGAAAAATAGAATTTGACATTAAATATATTTAATATATAATATTATGACATCTTTGCACATGTATTTTACAAAATTCTTAAGATATTCTTGATTAATAATTCTGCACGCATATTTGAAATTCAAGATTTGACGTTTCTGAAATCCTTGAAAGATGGTTTTTTATAATTGTAATAATGAATAAATAAGACGAAAAAAACAAAGACACAAGTCAAGAAAAGATTTAAAATACTAACGAAAGATTTTTAATTCGTAATAATTTTAAAAGAGAAATCTATTTGTACCTAAAAATATTAAATATTATAAATGTTCTAAACTTCTCTGTGAATCTTATTTATTAAAAAATATTCTTAAATAAATAAATAAAATTAGAAATAAGGGTAAATCTATTTGTCACCACTGGGAAAAATTATATAATTCCCTGATCCTAACCTTAACCCAAACTTTGTTAATTTTGCCAACGGTGACCATCACCAACGGTGACCATCACCAGCGGTGACAAGTATACTTTTTTATAATATAATGTTTAAATAATTTAATAATGGCACAACATTAATTTATAAATATTAACAATTTTATCGTTAATTATTTAAATGGAGGTTTGATCAAAAATGGGGAATAAAGTAAAAGTTAATTTCATAGTTTCTTATAGTATAGAATAGTAGCACAGCATTAATTCTTTACATTTATGTTTGTACTGTACAAAAAAAAAATCAAAATATTTTGAATAATGGAACATAATTCTAGAAAAGAACCCATTTGAATTAATTAATATTATTTATATTTTTGTATATTCGTAACCACAGCATAGTTGCATTCTGTCAGTTCTTCGTTGATAATGAATGAAATCCATTCATTTATTCTTTGAGGTAATTCGGGATTTGAAATAATTCGTGCTGATAAAGTAAGGGATTTAACTGGTTGATTTGGAAATATGCATTGTTGATGTAAATCATCCCAAAGCTGCGTGCCAAGAATATTTCTATAAGGCTTTAATTTCTCCCAAATATCTTTCTTGGAAGTATGAAAATATCGGAAAGTGGTAAGCATTGTTGTAGAGTTGTTTTCAAAGTCTTGAAATTTTCTTTAGACTATTCTTCCAAATTTCTTGACAAAGTAAAAAGAAATTAATGCTGCTTCTTGGAACGAAGTGAAATCTTCAGATTCAAAAATTAAATTTGGATATTTGGTAATAATATCATTATAAAATTGTTTTAAACCTTTGAATTCATTGCGCTTATTACTATCTAAGATTGAATGATCAATACGGGAGAAATAAACTTTAGATTCGTTAAGGTATCATTCCAATTTTTCTAACAGTTCTTCGAATTCCAATTCATTAGAAACAATTATTAATTCATAAACGATTTTTTGGTTCGTCATTTACAATGTAACAACTCCGCCATAGATACATCTACATAAAAAATATATAATAAAATATATTTATATTAATTTAAAATTATCTTTTATCGAAATATTTATATTTATACAATAATAAATAATTTTTTTTTCACTTGCTTAAGAATAATTTTGAATATTTGAGTAGAAATATTCGGTTTGACGATGGTTGTGACATTATTTTCATTCTTAGCAGTATTTTCCAACTCCTTAGTTAAGAAGGTTGAACGATAACATAAAGCAACTGGGTGCGAAGTAAAAGATTTCTTGTTTTCTTCTTTATCCACTTCAATGACAACATTAAATGTTTTCTTATCATCAAGAAGTTCTGAAAAATCTTGAGATAATTTGTCAAAAATTTGGAAATTTTTAATTTTATTATTATTAATTATTATTATTAAGTTTTTTATTAAGTTTGATATTTAAGATTCAAACTTCAATCGGAGTTTTTACACTAATCCGAACCTCTGTTGTACATTTTATTGATTCTGCCTCATAATTTTCCCTTAAATAGCAATTCATTAAAAATAATGGAATAAAATTTATTCCAAATCTGGATTTTGATCTTCTTAAATAATTTCTTTGCAAAAAAAGAATGATTAACATTAAGAATGATCAATCTTTTAATATTAATGCTGAAATTTTTTGAAAATATATTATTTAAAATCATATCTTAATAAGAAATATATAAAACATTAAAAAAAATACATTATTTGATAGTACTTATTAAAAGCAATTAAATTATGCATTCTTTTTTACATTTAAGATCCATATAAAGAAGCCTTTATATTTTTTTTAAAAAAAATCAAATTATTGGATATCTTTAGACTTTTTGCACCATATAAGTAAAAAAAGAATAAATATATTCATTTTAAATTTGAAATTTGAAATTTGAAATTTCATTTTTTAACAATCTTAAGTACTTCATAATCTATGATTGAAAATTCTTCATCAGTTGTTCTAATGGATTTTTCATAACGCTTAGAAAAATAAGAATATGTACACCAACATTTTTTATTCATGAGTAAAATAATTAACATATGATCCCAATAAAAATTCATTACGACCAAAGCATGGACCAGTAGTATTTTGATCATTAGCAATCACAATCGTGCCAACATGTCCATTACACATATTCCAAAATGTTTTGATCGAAAATCATCTTTACTTCCTCGAAGAATTAATTGAAGTTTATATGGCACATTTCTTAAAAAATAAATAGTTGACTTTCGATCATTCCTTGAAGAAATTTCTTCCACATGTTCTTCGTTAATTATGGTTGAAATTCGTTCTTTCATTCTTTGAGATAATTCAGGTTTGGAAATAATTCGTGCTGGTAAAATGAGGGAATTAACAGGTTGATTTGGGAATATGAGTTGTTGGTGCAAATCATCCCAAAGTTGCATACCGATAATTTTTTATAAGGTTTTAATTTCTCCCAAATATCTTTCTCGGAAATATGAAAATATCGAATAAGCGGTAAACATTTTTGTAGAGTTGTTTTTAAGTCTTGAAATTTTCTTCGGATCATTCATCCAAATTTGTAGGCAAAGTAGGATTCTGCAAAATTCCCCATTTGAATCCCAAATTTTAATTTCTTCTAATTGCAAGTTATCCTTTTCCAAAATAGAAATTAATGCTGCTTCTTGAAGTGAAGTTAAATCTTCGGATTCAAAAATTAAATTTGGATGTTTCGAAATAATGTCATTATAAAATTGGTTCAAACCTTTGAATTCATTCCGCTTATTATTATCAAAGATTGAATGATAAACACAAGAGAAATGAGTTCTTAACCAAGAAGCTTTAGATTCGACAAGGTAACTTTCTAATTTTTCTGATTGTTCGTCAAATTCCAATTCGTTAGCAACAATCATTGGTTCATAAATGATTTCGATTCCTTTATTTTCAATGTTAACAATGCCATCATAAATGTGTCTACATAAATATAATAAAATTAAAGAATGTTAATTTTAAAACAATTATAAAATAGTTTCTTTAACATTTGAAGTAATAAATAATTTTCTTTTCACTTGCTTAAGAATTATTTCGAATATTTAAGTAGAAATTTATGGTTTGACGATGGTTTTAACATTATTTTCATTCTCAGCAGTATTTTCCAACTCCTTAGTGATGAAGGTTGAACGGTAACGTAAGGCAACTGAGTGCGAAGTAAAAGATTTCTTGTTTTCTTCTTTATCAACTTCAATGACAACATTATATTCTTTCTTGTCATTAAGAAGTTCTGTAAAATATTGAGATAATTTGTTAAAAACTTTAAAGGTTTTTTATTTTACTATTAATATTAAGTTTATTAAATATTTAAGATTTACGGAATTTTACAAACAATCCGAAACTCCGTTGTACATCTTATTGATTGATAATTATGGAGAAAAATTCTGCCGTCATCAAGTTTTTTCCTTAAATATCAATTCATATAATATTATAATTAATTAAATTTTATCCGGATTTTGTATAATTTCTTTATTATAAATACAAATTAAAATTTAATCTTAAAATATCAAATAAAAAAAACGAATGATTAACATTAGTACAAAAGCGATATAATTGAACAAGAAAATATTTAAAATTGGTGATAGTTCTATTAAGAAAGTTTTGCCTACAACTTGGTATTATAAAAAACGATGAAAAAAATATCTAAGTATGATTAGCTATAATATTTCTTGATGCTAATTACTTATAATGGTAATGATTATTATTTTTCATAACATTTTTATATTTATTGTTATTAATTATTATATTTTACCTATTATCATTTAAATAATGCAATCAGTGAAATCGGTATGCTATTGATATGCAATACAAAAAGGTATTTAAGAATTATTCACTTCAAATAAAAGCCATAGAAGCAAATCTATTAAGTTTTCTTTTTTAAGGTGCTTTATAAAATATACATAATTTGCATAGAATATTATTAACCATTGTTGACTGCGATTACCTATACTAAACATGATTAACTAACAACTAATAACAGTGAAACTATTGTCTAAAAGATCACAAAGCAATTAGACAAATATGTTAAAGTTTGGAGGTTTATACTATATGTATAAAAGGTAAAGGATTTGATGTTGCAGGTTTGTTTGAAAGAGGCCTAAGGTGTGAGGATTTAAAGGAGTATGGGTTTTACACTAATTTTATAGGTATTCACGAATAATATTATCAGTTTCACACAGAAACTATAGTAATTCACACAGAAACTATAGTAATTCACACAGAATTAATATAATCAACCCAGATCATGAAGCAAGATTAATTATAAACAAAATAATACTGAGATCACGAAGCAGGGTATTATTATGAAGGTATTTCACTAAGAAATCAAAGAGTTAAATTATCAAATTGTCATGAAGACTTTATTAATAATTTATTACAAGTATTGAGTTCAGAATATAATCAAGTTTGAAAAAAAAAACTCTTTCCGACAATCATTTTGCCAGAATTTTCAAGGAAGAGAAAAATATAAAAAACACTACAAACAAATAATACAAACAACAGCAAAACATGAATGAGGAAAAGCAGGGTGAACGTACACATCCCAGACGAACCACAGCAAACTATGGAACTAAAAAGAAACATGAAACAATAAGCATCAGCAAGAAAGGTGGAGAAGCAGTTCGCAACACTTTAAGTATAGGAGGAATTATCCAGACAGGTTATAACCTTTTAAGCTCTGGAGCAGGAACTTTGAACAGTAACATGGAAACAACAGCAACAAACAACAATACTATTGAACAGAGTCAAGAAATAGATGCAAATATGGAAACAGAAACTTTATTGAATAAAGAAATGGAAGGAAAAAATACATCAAAAAATGATAAAGGCAAAGCAAAAGAAGTATACAACAATAGTATGAACTAAATTCTTTACCTGATGTATCATCACAGCATAAACTGCTTCTAATTTATACAAATAATGAGAAATTAAATTATAGTCTTTTAAGAATCTATTAAACTATTTAACTCCTGACTTATCTGAGTTATCTATTTAACCAGAAATTATAGTTTTTTATATCTATATAAATAGTTCTTTAGCTCATTTTTAGATCTTTTTCATAGATTTAAATTTTTTAGAAATATCTAATTGACTTCGATTTTTCACATAACCTGTTACTTCAACATCTGTAACATATAAAAATGTAAGTTTAGCAGAATATATACAAAATATTATTATAACATCTACAAAGCTTATAAATCAGGTGAGGTAAAAATATTATACTTATCTAATTTTTTCTCAACATATTCTAATATAAAATAATATAGATAATCAATTCTTTCAAATACCTTAACAAATTTATGTCAATTTTGCTAAATTTCATTAGCTTCTTTTGTAATTTCAAGAAATTTTGTAATATTGATTATCTCAGATGAAATATCAAAATTTCACAATTCTCTTTTAAATCGTGAAAGATATGAAGAACTAGCATTAATATTTAATGCTGATATAGCTAAGGTATAAGCTTTAGCTCTCACATCTCTAATATTAAGTTTATTACATAAAATCTGTTACACTATATTTTCAATAATCCCCTTCTCTATTCATTTTTGGAGTTTGTTAAAAATCATAATATTTAAGGTTTTGTCAAAAGCAGTTTCACAATAGGTACTTTCCATTGGTCATTTTTCTGGATAAAGAATAAGATATTCACTTGATCCTTACTAAACCCATATCTATTTTGCAAGATTTGTTTAATTATCTCTTTGATAATTTCTTCTTCCAAACTTTTTTGGAGTTCAGTTATAGCTATTTTACAATTACATTCAACTGAATTTATAGTTTTATTTTTTCCACTTCTCTGATTAGGTATCAATATACCTACCTGTTTATTACTAAATTTAAAACTATCTCAAAGATGTTGTTGAGCTTGATTCTGCTTTCTATCATCAGTAAGGTTTTCAAAAAATTCTGAGATATATTAACTAAGATCAGACACACTTATCTTGAATCTGAGATTGTATTTTTCAATAATTTTAGTTACAACAACTAACATGATTAAATATTATAATAGGTCAAATAGTTTATGAACAATTCTTCAAGTTATATACACTATAAAAATATTTTTCAAATTAAAATTAATTATCTTTGATCAGAATATCTAGTATTTATCTCAAAAATTGAATAGGTAATAATTATTGTAATTCTATTAGAAAATGAATATAAGTAAGATACAAAATAGATTAAAAGTTTTAGAATCCATAGCTCTTATATGAAGTAATATCTCTTTGAGCTTACATAATAAGATAATCAAAAATATCAATGAGATCAAAGAAGATATAAAATTACTCAAAGAGGTTCTAAAAAAAATAATTGATATATGCTATATATATGATACACATAAATATACATGTCACCCAAATCCCAAATTATTTTGGCATTTCAGCTGTCAAAATTCAGTTTTCATAATATTTGGAATTTGGAATTTGGCATAATTTGGAATTTGGAATTTTGGCAATTAATAATTTGGAATTTGGGATTTGGAATTTGGGATTTGGGATTTGGGATTTAGCATTTTGAATTTGGGTGGCACCTATACATGTAAATGCCTTAAGTCAGATCTGTCAATTTGAAATTTATCAATATATAGATTATAATAAAAAATTTATAACTTTAGAGTTGCAATCTAGGCTATAGTAATATTATTTGATTTTATTGTTTTATTTTTTATAATGGTTGGAATAGATTCCAGTAGTTTTTATACTTATAAACCATTTTCTATAAATATCAGATCTATTTTTCATTATATCAATTGGTGATATTATAGTTGGATGGGACAGAACATTCATGAATCTAATCTGCTCAGAATAATAATAATCCATATCATCTAGTAATTGTAGAAATTTAGCTAAATCTTTTATGTACCTAAAGCCATTACACATTAGTTTGCAAAATGTTGATATATTGTAATCAATCTCTCTTTTGATTAATAAGTTAACTACTTTCTAAAATGTTTCTATTAAATATATAGTATATATATAATATTGATATATTAGCATAGGTATTTTTTATTATATGTGTATACATTTTCTCCACCAATATTTAAATCAATTTTTATATAATATTTTCTTATATATTTGAATATTCTGTTATACTTGTAATAAAGAAGAAAAAGATTTAATATGAATTATCTTACTTGTTCACATGTTAAAATAGATAGAAATGTTTGTGAACAAGTTTGTACTCATCTAACTAAATGTGCTCTTTATTGAAAAATGGTTACTAATAAATTGCTAAAATTGTCTTATAGTATATGTAACAAATTCACCTTATCTTATATGGGATATTGCTCTAGACATACTAACAAATTCCATCATCAAGCTGAAAGGAAGAGACAGAAAAATGCTCTTATTAATTTAACTTCTTTAGCCCTTAATATATAGATAATTTATTTCTGGAAAAATGACACTACATTCTTGAGTATCACAAAAACTAGTATATTAATATAAAAATTAGAGTTTGTAGAAGCAAAAAATCCTTCTACACTAAAGCTCTACTTGCAAAATTCACATATTCATTCCTTAATATATATATAGTAATCTTACTATAAATATTCATTTTCCTGGAGTATGACTATTTTTTCTTTCCATTCCTTATCATCATAACTACTTAAAATATTTGAAGCATAATTTTCTCACTTATTAACCATTCTCACCTATTCATATCCATTAATGTATCTAGATATCATCAGTATCTTTTACAAACTAGATCTTGTCTATATCTGAATATAATCTATTACAATATATATATATCAAATCTCCATCTTTTTCAGTTATAGTTATAAAGACATCTGGATCTTTGCCATGATCTACAGTCCACTGTCTGAGACATTTTTCCCATTCTTCTTGAAGGTATATTTTCAATTGGATACTGACTTCTTCATTATTAATTTTAGGCTTATCATTAATAGGTAAGTTAAGAGATAGTTTAGGTTCATCTTTAATAGATAAACTGGAAAAGATCTTGGAAGGAAGTATGGATTTGTTGTTCAAAGATTCTACACATTTGATCTCTTGAAAATACATTGATAGACTTTGATGGCAAAATAATTAAACTTTCCAATTGATCTATTATTGAGTCAAAAAGATCTTGGGTTATGTTAGTGATGGAATAAGTGAGTAGTATATAATATAGAATATTGAAGCTTTACTTTTCTTTAGCTTTTTCAATATGTTTATTGATTGATAACTCAGATATCTATTTTTCTGGTTGATAGGTTATAATTTCTGGAACATTAAATATAGGGATATCTGTAAAAATATCAATAGATATATTGGTTTGAGGTGAGTTAGAACACTGGTTGAAAATTGATAAAACATACACATATCGGGTACCCGATATGTGCATGGTGTTTCCCTAATATCAGGCATATATCGGGTACCTGATATGTGTAGAAAATATTTTATATATATATCTGGTATTCGATAAGTGTAAAAAAATATTTTCTACACTTATTGGGTACCCGATATATGCCCGATATTAGGGACACACCATGCATATATTGGGTACCCGATATGTGTATGTTTTATCAATTTTCGATCAGTGTATATTAAAATACAACAACAAAGATTATATCATATATTATCGGCCTATAATAAATTGTATTAAAAATATTTTATCAATAAATGATATATATAAATATATGACATTTAATTTTAATAATATAATATTATAAATTATTATTTTTTAATATTATATACCATTTTATAGTCAAATAATAATAGAAATTAATAAGTAGTTCACCTCCAATTAGTAGGCACAAACAGAAAAAACTTTATCACTTGGTTCACATCTAATATCAATCATATTATATTTTGACGCTTCAACCACTGACTCTCTTGGAAAAAATATCTTGCATCCTATTTTTATAACTCTTGGCAATATCATTACCTGGCGTAGAAATAAATCAGATGTAAAACAATTATTAGCATATCTTCCTATTATAAAGGCAAAAGATGATACTCAAAAAAAATCTGAAGAACATAAAAATATAGTTCACAAAATTTTTCACAAATCTCTCAAATTTTTGTTATCTCTGTTATATAACAAAAATAATAGTATAAAATTAAAATTAAATAATAGAATATTGTGGTATTTCTCTAGAATTTCTATGATTATTTCTGACTAGCCTGAAGCATGTACATTTGCATTAACATACAAATCAACACAATCAAATTACCCCTGTCATTTTTGTCTCGTTTCTAAAGAAAATTTATCAAATATAAACTTAAATAACAATTAAATGGAATCAAGATTTCATAAAAATATGAAATTACATTATAAAAATAATACGAAAAAAAACGTTAGCATTGAAAATGTACGAAATTTTTTTTGGAGTATTTCGTAAGTATGAAATTTTATACTTTTAAATAATAAATAATGAAAATATTAATAAAATTTAAAATTTAATAGGGATATTAATATATATGCCGCAACAGTACCTGATAGAATGTACCACTTTGATCTTGACCTTTTCCAATATCAATTAAACTTTACTAAAGTTTTAATTACTAAACAATATGGAAAATCTATTACCGATAAAATGAATTGTCACATTACAAAAATTTCTCACTATAAAAATCTAAAATCGTTTTCTAACAGTTTTTTACATCTTACCTTACTAACTATCTCGGAATACTGAAGCCTTATGAAAATAATGACTTTTATTGTAGACAATCTCTACCAAGATTTCAAAAGTTCAAATTTTATTAAAAATAACAAAATTACTAAAATATATTTAAGATAAAATAAAATGTATTTATTATCAAGAAAAGAAAATTATGAAGAATCTGATATTACTCTTCTGCAGGTAACAGTATATATCTTTATATAATATTTTAATTCGTTACATAATAATTTTTATTAAAATTTTTTCTAAATAATTTCAAGAATCAATAAATGAATGGGTAAAACTATTTATTGAACTATTTGAAGAATATTTACTATCTAAGCTTCAATTCCTCAAATTACATTTGTGGGTGTTCCATATCTGCTCTTCGATTCGTGAATTTGGTGTCATTAATGGGTATACAACAGAAACATATTAAAGCCTCTATAAAGATTACGTCAAAAAGCCCTATAAATTAACAAATAAAAAAGAAATTAAAAAACAAATCATGAACATTATAAGTATTCTTTTTTGATAAAAATCGTTATATAATATTTATTTAAATTTATATTAATATATTTTCTTTAGAATCGTCGCAAAGACATCATAATGAAAAGTTTTTTGTAAGAAGTACTAAAAACTCCAGTAGCATTTAAATATTCAAAAAAATTATATGAATTTTGTATACAAAATGCTGAAATTTATATTCAAATAAGAATGAATAATCCGGACTTCGAAAAAAAAATGAAACTTGGCTTCAAAAATTTCTTGAATTGTTTAGATGATTATCTAAATTTCTATAAACAAATCTATCCGAACATAAAGAAATTAATATAAAATTTCATATATATAGTAATGTGACATTAAAAAATAGAACAATAATACATGTAACAAATAAATTCTATAAAAAATCTTGGTTCAGTAATATTGCAGTTGAAATGAGTTCAGATGAAATTTTTGAATATGTATCAGATAATGGTGTATACTTTGCTCAGGTAAAGATCAATATAAATATCTTATGAAATAATGATGAATATTTACTTATTATTGATATTTTATAAACAGGTTCTTTTAATAACTGAAATAATAATAAATA